GATTCTTTGACGCAAATCTTCCAGCGACGCAGGCTGTGTTTTATAGATTTTACTTTTTAGGTATCCCCACAAAAAGAAATCAAGGGGCGATAAATCCGGTGATCGTGGAGGCCACTCAATGCTGCCTCTTCTCCCAATCCAATTCCGTAGAAAACGTTGGTCCAAATACTGACGGACAATTAACGCATAATGCGGAGGAGCACCGTCCTGTTGAAAAATCAAATGATCTTCATCATACTCTGGAACATTTTCAATAATATCAGTCAAGGCAGGGTCAATAGCGTCTTCCAGTAATTGCAAATACATTTGGCCAGTCAAATTACCAGGTAGAAAAAAAGGACCCACCAGCCGGTCACCGAAAATTCCAGCCCATACATTTAATTTTTCCGGTTGCTGTGTATGCACCTCGTGAAAAACTCTTGGGTTTGAATCGGACCAATAGCGGCAATTGTGACGATTTACCGTCCCGTTCAAGAAAAAACTGCATTCATCAGAAAAACAGATGTTAAAAAGGAACTGTGGATCGTTCCCTGCTCGCTCACTCATTATTTCGCAAAATTGCAAACGGCGGTCATAATCATCCTCATGAAGTTCCTGGACTAAATGTATTTTGTATGGATGGAATTTATTCTTCTTCAAAATGGTTTGTATGCTAGTTCGATTGATCCCAGACACAGATGCCAGCTGCCTCGTACTTAATGTAGGATCAAGATGAACTTGTCCCAAAACTGCAACTTCACTAGCTTCATTAACTATAGGTTTTTCAATTTCTCGTTTTTTATTGGCTACGTTCCCTGTCTCTTGAAATTTTTTTACTAACTCTAGAACATACTTCCTCCTGACATGTCGATCTTGATGTTGTTCATTAAATAGCTGAGCTGTTCTATTCGCACATTTATTGTTCATAAAGTAAAGCGAAATGATATCTACCCTTTCCGCAATGGAATAAACCATAGTGTTTAATTTTCAAAAACACAATTAAATAAACTACCAACCAACGCTTCCAAATAATACTAGAAAATAATTTGGAATCCACTAATTTTACGTTCATTGTGTGTGTATAGCATTCATTTCTGTTTTTTACAATTGTGTTTTTTTTACGAAAGTGATAACAAATCGCCAAAAACCAATGTAACGCAAGAAATACTAAATTTATACCATTGGCGTACTTAACTCGAATGACTGACATTTTTACCGTTACTAATTGTTTGTACATAAGTTTCAACTTTAAAATCAAAATTCTTAATAAGTATTGGGCGGAATTATAAAATTTAAAGTCTGTTGTAAAGAGAATTGTAAGAGCTTTCAAAAGAAATATTACTCAACCCCCAATGCCATTTAAATATTTTGGGGTGATGCTTACCCTTGCTTGGGGGTGAAAGTGCCGGAGTCAAAAATACCAGCAAAGAATGTCCCCCTTTAATCTAAAATCGACGGGTCTGAGCGTTTTTCTACAATCTTGACGCAATTCCTGAAAATGGCTCTGTCTCGTTTTCATTTGAACACCCTGTATGAATTTAATAAATTATATAGAAGTTATTACAAAATACCAATTTTCATCTCTTAACTACAAGGGTTAATATCTACTACCAAAAAAGTAGATTTGAGACATTATTTTTACGATATCTCTCCTAATTTGAAAGTTCATCATTTGCAGAACACGCTGTATAACGTCTAATTAATTTCGACATTGTATATCCTAATTAATCATTTATGAGTGATTTATTTTCGCACTCAATATGTAGTTAATTAAAAACCAAGTCTGAGTAAAAATTGACTCAAAAGTAGTTAAATTTATATCATATTAGAAATAAGTTAATAGTCCAGTCGATATCTGTTTTAGAAGTAGGTTGTATGGATGTTTCATATAGTAACGCTAATTTCTGCAATGCTACTATATCATGAGGTACTCAGAACCATACTTTTTATATGGCTGCTCTAAAGTCAAGGTCCGAAATAAATTCATGAGGAAAACATCTTTTTTCACATATGGGCATACAAATTTCGAACTTTTATTTTGAAGAGAATCTCAAAATAAAACTTTTTTTCCGTTAACTAATTTCTTTAATGTCAATATTCTGCGAGTTATACATGAAAGAAGGGAAAAAAATGCGCCTTTTTAAAATTTTTTTAACATTTTCTTGCGCTAACAATTATGTACACCTTTTTTAGCGGGCGCATATTGCAATTATTATTTTACATAATATTTAGAACTATTTCCAACAAAAATTAGCGTTACTTATATAAAACATCCATCCCGAGATTAATACCGACTGGATTACAACTCTAAATTGGTTTTACATACTCAGAATAGAGTCAAAAGTCACTCAATTGATAGTTAGTAGTAACTAATATTGAGTGAAATTTGTGTGAATATTTTTTACAGCGTACGGTGACTCCAAGCAGCAATTCATGACAGACATGGTCGGCAATATGACGTTCTTTTGCAACATGTATGACAGTGCACCACCACATATATCCAATTTGACCATTCGGGAGTTGAAATGGGAAGTTCTGCCCCACCCACGTTACTCTCCCGATTTCGCACTTTCTGATTTGCACCTCTTCCGCTCTTTGCCAAACTCCTGACGCGAAGTTTCTTAGCTTTGTTGGAAAACAACGGACATAACTTATACCTCAACACAATACATTTTTTATTTGATATTTGAACGCGCACAGTTTAAAAAAATATGATTTGTTCTTTAAATTCTCAATATTATCCGGTCTGTCCTGGTAGACTCTTTCTTTCAAATATCCAAAAAAGAAAATAATCCAGTTGTTAAGTCGAGAGATCTTGGCAGCCATTCAACTGTACCCCGTCTACCAATCCAGCGATTTGGAAACATTTCATCTAAGTATCTTCGAACATCAATACCAAAATGTGGGGTAGCGCCATCTTGTTGGAACCAAATTCTTTCATTCGGTATATCTGGATCAATTTCATGAGGGAAAATCACAGCTAGAGCAGGTATCAGGTCAAATGTTAGGAAATCCAGGTAGCGTGCGGCAGTAAGATTTTCTTAAAAAAAGAATGGGCCCAAGATTCTGTTGTTGATGATACCTGCCCATACATTAACTTTTTGTGGGTGCTGCGTATGCGATTCGCATGTCCAGTGTGGATTTTCCTGGGACTAAAAGCGATAGTTGTTCCTGTTAATCACTCCATTTAAATAAAACGTAGCTTCATCCGAAAAAAGTACGTCTCGTTGAAAACCATTATTGTCGTCACAGCGTCTCATCATTTCCTCACAAAATTGTAATCGCCTATCATAATCGTCTTCCAAAAGCTCTTGGACAAGACATACCTTATAGGGGTGGTATTTCTCTTGTTTCAGAAACATTCGAATTGCAGTTCGAGAAGCATCGTGATTGCGGGCCAATGAAACAGTTGAAGTATGAGGATTTTCAACAAGTTCTAATGCAATGTCTAATTTCTTTTCTTCATTCAAAGCACGTGCCCGTCCAGTTTTGGGCAAAGTCTGTACTGTACCGTGTTCCTCAAATTTGTGAAATATTTTACTAACTGTCCCTTGCGAGATTTGGTTTTCGGGATATTTCGCATTAAATAAATCGCGCACTTCAGCCTGACTTCTTATTTTGTCTCCACATCCAAGCAATATCAAGATTTCGATGCGTTGCCTTTCCGACAATACCATTGCAATTCAGTAAATAACTTGATTTTGACACAATAGTAACGTTTCAAACTCCAATTTACAACTAAAGCGAAAAATTAACCAGAAAGCCTGGCAAGTAAGTGGTGCCAAAAAAACGCAACATAAAAAATATATCTTTTTTGCGTTAGCAGTGATAGGTACAGTTTCAAATTCTTTATTTTATTCTGTGCAAATTCATGGAGGATAACACTGAAGATAATTAAATTTTATTTCACTTGTTAAGTAGGTGTTTTATACAACCCTAAAAACCTTGCTATTGAAAAAATAAAACTTGTTTATTTGGTATGGCTGGATTCGGTTTTCTATAATCTTTTCAACGAGCCCCCTCATGCCTTATGTTTCCATTTGAAAAAAAAAGTAGGGATAGCTGGGGGTTAGGGGGTTGAAGAAAAATTAATTATTATATAACCGAAAGATGGGAAAAAATCAAAATCAGTTAACGTGTTTCGGCGTTTTAAAAAAAAATAACTCATTCAAAAGATATGAATTTTATTCCGTACTTCTGGCCATCCCTGTATAATGTTTGCTTTCATATTCCTTTTGTACTTTTATATTTCTCTCAGAAAGACTTGTATTATAAGTTATATCTAATTACTGAAATAAAAAGCGCAATTTGTCAACAACGTATATATTTTTTTGTACTAACTTAAGATATATACAACAAAATATTTTTAGGAACAAGTACAATAGTAATTCATCTTATATAAGCATTTTTTTTAGTAGTAGTAAAATGTATTGAACCACTTATATGTAACGCATATGTGTAGTTTTGCCTTAACTCTATATTCGTAAAATTTATTTTGACACTGAAGAGCGCGCTATTAAATACGATAACTAAACTTATAACATAAGTATATTATCCTATAGCTATGATGCTTATCTAGATGAGAATAGTCGTAGAGTTAAAAAAGCGCATGCATTGTGTACTGCGAAGAAACTGAGATGCGTGAACTTAAAATCGAATATAAGTATATTTTTTAGGAACTTTTAAATTATCTGTTATTACTATTACTATTATTACATACCCCATCCCATAAATTTAAAATGTATGCTAAATGTAGTGATTGTGATGAAAACTGGTGACTACACTAACCTTGTGTATAATAAATCTTTACTACAACTACAAAATCTTACAGCTGCACCCCTTACATTTACATTAAATAATTGTTAAAACATACTGCCAATATTTCCTTAAGACTACCTTATGTTAAAACTTGCGCCGTTGTCAAATCTATGAGAAGCCAGATTGTGAGATGAATTACTACCAGTACGCCTCTAAAAACAAGTCAACAACAAAGACAACAATTAATGTAACAAAGATGTATAAGATTAGTGCTCTTCTTCCTCCTGTTCTTCTTCTCCCCCGTAGGCGGCGGACTTGCCATTGCCATCCTTGGAGTCGTAGCTATGGCTGGTGGAAGAGCTTTCACCTTCGTTTTTGTCACCGGAGTCGTAGCCTGAAAGCAATTTTCAGTGTTACTTTTCTGTACGGTTTTGAAAAGAATTTCGAAACAAAAATTAACAAAACATAAATATTAAGTAAATTGGAGTATAAATACACAGCTCCACAAAAAAAGTTTTGTGCAAATGACCAGAATGCTTTATAGTCCAGTCGTCAGAGGCCGAAAAGTTACTGTTGGTGACATTGACTTGATAACTCGGAAATAACTACACAGGAATACTTTAAATGATGAGTACGATAACAGGCTAATTTGCTGACAAAGTATTTTATCAGGAAAAAAGTTATTAACAATTTAATCGTGAAAAAATTATTTTTTTTTAGTAGTTTTCTTTAAATAACTCAGCGGGATGACTGTACGAAAAAATGCTTAGGACATGATTTTGTTCGTACCTAATAAAAATAGCTATAAAATGGCGGCCGTCCGATTACGAAATTTGCAATAACAAAGCCGTGAGATTGAAAAAACGGTATAAAACGTCAATTTTTTAAAGTTGCTGTAAAAATGTCAATTATAAACAAAAAGTGATAAAACTTTCGAAAACTATAGTTCAATATATATATACAATAATGACACTAAAGCCGAAAATCAGGAGAGCAAAACTTTTTGTTCTATAA